TTCATGTGCTGTCGCTCAAATAAGAAGAAAATTTAAGTCTAGTTAATAAATTCACAGGGTTCAAGAATCCAAGTTTATCATAAGTTACAGTTATTCAGCAAAGTGGGTGCGGTGAGGAGCAATATCCTTTGTTTTATCCTGTCGTTCGTAGCTGCTACAAAGATATGGTGGCGCATCTGTGTATGGCTGCACACATCAGTAGTACAGAAACTTATCACTACAGTAGATCCAAAGGTGTCAACAAAGTCTGCAAAATATTAAATGTTTTATTGTTTTAATAAAGAGGCACATTCAAATTTAGCACATTGCTTTGTTATTTCATTTTAGAGTAAAGTACAATACAGTATGTGTATTTTGTTGCAAAGAAATTACCATAGATTGGGTACTTAATTGCAAATCGGCTTCCTCCTCCATTCTTAGTTGTAGCTTGCTGTCTTCCACATTTCTCATTGTAATGCATCGCGGCTAACAAAGTCCTGTGGAAATCATAAAAAGATTTTTATTTATCATTTTTAAATATTTATAAAATTATTTTAATTATAGGTCATTCAAACTTTATTCACAATGAAACATGTTCAATCATGATTGTTCTTGTCACCCTTGTGTTTACATAAGTTTGTGATAAATTGATATGATTAATAAAACCAGTTGAGGATATATATAATATTATATCTAAATTGACACAGGCTACACCAATAACTAAACCAGATTTTCATTCAAATGGTGTTGGTAGACAAACCATTACTATTAGGCTAGGTGCAAGTTTTAAATAGCACTAGCCTAGTACTGTAGTAGTAGGTAGTAGGTAATAAGTACACTCCTCTCGCCAGTCATGTGCATGTAGTACATTCCTACTATAGGCTAGAGTGTAGACCTTCTACTCAGTACTAGATTCAGTACTTCTACTACTCTCTATGCTTGCCTAGGCTACTGTATGCTATTGTATTTTTTAATTTTTAAAAACACAACGAATACAAATTAATCATTTCACATTACAGCCTTATGTTAGAGAGTAAAGTCATTAAGTGTTATTTATACGACCGAAAATTTGAGGGAGGGAGGCCCAGCTTCTTCCGAAAAACATGGTGTAGCTAGGCCCTACGCGAAGGTCAGCTCAGCCTAGTACTCGCACAATTTGTGAAAGGAAAACAAACCTAGGCCTACCCTGGACATCTCCCTCTCTCTTTTCGTAGGCTGTAGATCTTCGTTTACTGTCCTGGTTGCCCATCAACTGTCCTGGTTGCGCATCAACGGCCCTGGTCGAAAAGGTTTTTTAAAGTGTTGGGATTACTCCATCTTTTTTGTTTTTGCGGCCAGACAACCCGAAGCTTGTTTTGCCAGTACACTTCTTGACTCGAAGTCATCGACCGGAAAATGCTCGCTGCACAACACTGAATGTATGGAGCCCTGGAAGTGTACTCAAGTTTTTCATATGGCTCCAGTACATTTTTTTCTTTAAAATTCCGTCTTTTGGGAACTAATGCTTGGTAAAATCGTTTGAATGGTTGTTGCTGCAGCCATACAACAAGACATTGTTTGGTAACAAAAGACCCTTCCTATGGTCATTTATGTCAATATGCTAGGCTATACAATATTTCATCGAGCCTGTCAAAACAAACAGACCGACTGCGCGTCACATCCAAGTTCAACTTTAGGTTAACTTCGGTAGGCGGAGCTTCGAAGCCGAAACTGGCTCAACATAACCTATTAAAAATCGCTTTTTGACAAAATGCAGAAATAAATGATAAAAAGCAACGAGGTATTTCTTTGTTATCATATACTATACTATAAATTAATAAAGTATATAACAACGAGGTATTTCTTTGTTACCATATACTTTATTAATTTATAATAATTTGAAGCAAAATAGTTTTCATCACACTTGTTATTCTTTAACTAGATTTACTTCAAAGCAAAAAACTAATTTTTACCATTGCCCTGAACTCTGAAACAAATTAGGCCTACTGTATCAAATTATATTACAAATTTAAGGTATGTATGTATTTAAATCAGCCTGTAAAAAACATTCCTTGCAATTCACATGATCTTTTTTTCGCCCGTACTTGCTTGATCCACTTAAGTTACAGTATTTATGCTTCCGTATTGGGAAATATTATTATTATAGGCCTAAAAAAATAATTTTTCTTACATTTTTCACCTATTTAAAAACTGCAGAGCCTACTATTTCAAAGCTTTAACATTTTTTTTTGACTTCGTCCCTTGTCCTTATTATATTTTTTGTTATTACTTAGGCCTAGTAATGATATTTTTGTTAAGCCCTAGGAAGGCTGTACCAGGCATAGATAGGCCTTGTAGTAGCCTGAAAATATATAAATTGAAAACAGCAGTTTACAATTTTGTTTGAAATTTGGCCATAATATTACAATGTTGTTTTCTACCGACCCAGAAGTTACAGGCAAGTAGGGACAGCCTAGTGAATAGACCAATGAGGGTTAAGTCTAGGACTAGGCTAATCTAGCCTAGGGATGGGTGCTAGGTCTAGGGGCCTCATTAGGCCTAGACTAAGTCTAGGAGACTAGCCTGACTGTCTGACCTGAGGCTAGGGCCTAGGCCCTAGCTCCATTTGGCATTAGTTAGGCTAGCAGTACAGTAGCTAGGCCTAGGCCTAGGTAGCCTATATATACTGATCTCCTACTGATCTGATAATGCAGATTGTCAATAAAAGGCAAATGAGGTTACATTAGTTAGGCCTAGCATTTAATATTCAGTATTCTTACCCTCGAAGTGATAAGTATATCGAAAAAATGTAGGCCTCCTTCCTAGGCTAGTAATGTGACTTTCTCTAGATGTATCGTGTGGAGAATTCTCGTGTGGTAGTACAACAGAAAGCCGTCAACGCGCGCCTCCTGAACTGCTCTGGCGAGCAAATGTCTAGCCTCAGCCAAAGATACTAGAAATACAAGATAGAGTTCTCGCATTGTAAAAATGAGGCGGAAGTCGTGCCCAACGTAGGCGGCGCCCTTTTTTTTAACCATGCAAGTTTCCTATACTTCGTGCCCAACGTACAGGGCGCCCTTCTGTTGCTAAGTATATCCAGACGCAAAAGGCGCCCTTCCTTTTCCACTAATGGAGGAAAACTTTTTCACTAAGATCACTAAGATCCAAGATCTCGTCATCTAATCATCTCTTCTAAAGGATGTACACATGACGAGATCCATGGTCGTCATCTAATCATCTCATCTAAAGGATGTACACATGACGAGATCCATGATCTCGTCATCTAATCATCTCTTCTAAAGGATGTACACATGACGAGATCCAAGATCTCGTCATCTAATCATCTCTTCTAAAGGATGTACACATGACGAGATCCAAGACTCGTCATCTAATCATCTCTTCTAAATGATGTACACATGACGAGATCCATGATCTCGTCATCTAATTATCTCTTCTAAAGGATGTACATATGACGAGATCCATGATCGTCATCTAATCATCTCATCTAAAGGATGTACACATGACGAGATCCAAGATCTCGTCATCTAATCATCTCTTGTAAAGGATGTAGACATGACGAGGTCCAAGATCTTGTCATCTAATCATCTCTTCTAAAGCATGTACACATGACGAGATCCAAGATCTCGTCATCTAATCATCTCATCTAAATGATGTACACATGACGAGATCCAAGATCTCGTCATCTAATTATCTCTTCTAAAGGATGTACAAATGACGAGATCCATGATCTCGTCATCTAATCATCTTTCTAAAGGATGTACACATGACGAGATCCTGGATCTTGTCATCCGATCACCTCTTCTAAAATATGTACACATGACGAGATCCAGGATCTCGTCATCTGATCATCTCTTCATCTCTTCTGAAGTATGTGGCAAGATCCAGGATCTCGTCATCTAATCATCTCTTGTAAAGGATGTATGCATGACGAGATCCAGGATCTAGTAATCTAATCATCTCTTCTAAAGCATGTACACATGACGAGATCCATGATCTCGTAATCTAATCATCTCTTCTAAACAATGCAGACATGATCCAGGATCTCGTCATCTAATCATCTCTTCTTTCTAAAGGATGTAGACATGACGAGGTCCAAGATCTCGTCATCTAATCATCTCTTGTAAAGGATGTAGACATGACGAGGTCCAAGATCTCGTCATGTGATCATCTCTTCTGAGGGATGTAGACATGATGCTGATCATCTCTTCCAAGGGATGTAGACGTACATGATGAGATCAAGGATCTCGTCATCTGATCATCTCTTCTAAAAGATTTAGACATAACGAGATCTAGCATCTCATCATGTGATCATCTCTTTTGAAAAATGTAGACATGAGGAGATCCATAATCGCAGCATTTAATCTTCTTTCCTACAGGATGTAGACATGACGAGATAATTATCTAGACATCTGGAAGGTCACTTTAAGCTTCCGTAATACGAGACTTGCGAAATGTAAACCAAAACTAATCAGCCAAGCATGACGTGGGCCTGTTCCATCCACGGGGGAATCAATTTTCGCTGCAGTCCAATACCGTGAACAACGATTCCCAGTGTCTGCTAATTTTTAATGGTCAGGGTACCGCTATCACGAGCCCTATGCTACGCATTATAGGCTAGGCTTATGTGGGCTGGGATTTGCAACAAGGTCCTGGACTAGGCCTCTATACTATTATAGGAGGCCTAGTCTAGGCCTATAATATAGTAAAATTCTGTATAAGTAGTCATATGATTACAGGTTTACAGTGTACCACGCTCAATATAACGATCGCATTTATTTTTCATTAAAAATAAAAAAAAAAAAAAAGGATTTTAAAATATTCAAAAAAATTCACTTCAAAAAAAAATTAAGTTAACTCAAAACAACGCGATAGGATATGAAGTTTGCGAGAATTAATTGGTATACTTGTACTGTATTTTCTAAAGCGCCGCTCTTTTGGGGTTGCTACAATCAGCAGTTGTTACATCAGTGGCGCCACGCTCGGGCGCTAACAGGGTGGGGGGGGTGTGGGAGCGCCAGGGCCTCAGGCGCGAGGGGCCCCGACATTGTAGTTTAAAAAAAATATAATATAAACTATAATACCGTAGTTTCATTCAATGGGGCCCCGACAGTTTTAAACAATAAAAGCTGGGTTCTGATGTTTGAGATCATGCTTTTGATTTTGTGATCAATCTGCTTTGCATTGTATATAGGCCCTATGTTATTAAAACATGTTTAGCTCTGACTAAAATTGGTCTATTATCGGTATTTATTTACACCTAGAGTACATAGGCCTACTGTAGGCATTTGTACTGTATACCAGTCCAAAAGTCATGTACCATTCTATGTGTTAACACAGTTAACAGTTAATTTTTCAATCCTCCAGCAAATTTTAAATAGCATCCAAAATCCTCACCTTTTTGGAATGTAAGGAAATAGATAGTGCTTTTCCTTTGTTGGATCGATTGTAACTCCTGATTATAGCAACCCCAAAACGAATGGCACTTCAGAAATACAGTACAGTATAGCAATTATTCTCTCACTGAAACTTTATATCCTATCACTTTGTGTTTTAAGTTAACTTTATTTATTTATTTTTTATTTAATTTATTTTTTTAAGCATACAGGTTTGGAATATTTTAAAATCCTTAATTTAAATTATTTAAAGTTTTCTTTTTATTTTCAATGAAAAATAAATGCGATCGTTAATATCGATCTTTGTACAATGTAAACATGTAATCATATGACTACTCATACAGCATTTTACTATATTATAGGCTAGGACCAGGCCTCCTACTATAGTATAGGCTTTTTAAAAAAAATAATACAGTACATACACTGTACATGAATTTAAAAAAAAAAAAAAATTAAAAACAAGCTTGGTTTATACAGTAGTTTAGTTGATTTAATCCCAGTTAAGTCCAGTCCATATTGATGCTACATTTCAAATTCAATACTAAGAATGTAAAAATCTTCTAGATCTATTGTAGAAATCCCTAATAATAAACCAAAATGAATACATCTAAATTAAATATAAGTTACAATTTTATAGGTTGTATGGGAAGAAGCCCAGAACCCCTAGACTGTGACGAATATAGGAGAGGGATCCCAGTCGTCCCCCTTTAAAAATGTCCAAGCCAAAAAATCAGGCTAAAGTAGAGGGTCCTCACTTATCATCGATCCCCTTACTTCACCTTTGTGTCCCCTCCCCCATTTCAAGACTAGATTTGCCACTGCCCTCAGAGGGGGTCCAGGGAAACCCCCTGTAAACCCTGACATGGCCACCACTTACAAAATCCCCAAAATCATGATTGTTCTGCTGGCATAGGAAAGCTGGTAAACAAAAACTGAGAAAAACCACAATTGTATTTATGCATCATTAATTTATTAACCAACACCACAACATTTATGTAAATTACAGGATAAAAAAACCAACTATAAATGTATAATACATACATAATACCTTACATTAATTTTAAAGCCGCTATATATATTAGAAATGTCATAATTTTCAAAAGCAAAGACAAACATTTCAACAAGGGCACAGCTTGATAAACAAGGGTGCACCGTGATAAACAAAGCGCATCTTGAAAAATGAGGGTGAATTGTAAACATGTAACAATTTGTTACTGAAATATCAATGGTTAATTGGTTATGTACAATCTGATTTGCTGATGTCTCATACAAAATTTGAATATTCATATTAACTGACAGTATGTTAAACTGAACCAGTATACCAGGTATTCTTAGCTAGACATTCCAACAAATAGAATTGTACAAATTCTAGCAACTGATAATCTTATCATAAATACTCTAATATTCAAACAGTAGTAAAACAAGGAATACATCACCAAGACATTCATGTTTTTTGACATACAAAAATAATCATTTGGATTAGAATACATTTTTTTTCAATTACATTATATTAAAGAACATTATTACGATCATGATGATGATGATATTTGGAAGGGAATAAATAATTATAAACTTTTCATAATTAATTCTGTCATATTTTAAAAATATATTTCAATACTATCAATTCATTTACCATATGAATGTTTTTTGGCAATTAGTTGTCAATCAAAAATTAAGAATAATTATTATTATTATTGACTAACCATTTTACCATGATTCTGCATACAATTTAATGAAAAAATGTAGTTCTTTTATTTTATGCACATTTCAAGAGAATTTCACAAGATTTATAAAATCTTTAAGGACACCTTCATATAGAATTAAATACTATAATTTAGTAATGAGCAATACAAAAATATGTTTTGTTTAACAAATGCAATCAAACTGAACGCATTTCAGATAAGCAGCAGATATGAATACTCTTCATGAGTTCATGGTGATTACACAAATCTTAACAAAATATGAAAAACTAGCAACACTTCAAGGTAAGGTTGTGGGAAAATTGAAAGACAGGATTTTGTTAGTAATGAGCTTTAACAATGTAAATCTGTAAACTACAAGCCAAGAGCATGATCCAATCACATATTTACAAAGACACTTTTCCAATAACAATTCAATAATTAATACAGTTAATACAATTGATGGAACTATTGGTAATAGGGACAAGATAGCACTCTGTTGTGCACATACAATTTTTCATGCACTCAATTATATTTTATCTCTGAATGACCATTGTTTTGCGAAATAAATATAACATTTTATTTTTTTACGAATGAAGAGGATGCGATAACTGGCCAAAAATAACATTTTACTTTTTATTCAAAATCACCATTTTTGGTGATAAGTGGGTTTGCTAAACAAGGTATAAAAAAAGTCTGGCCTAAGGTAATAAAGTGTAACATCACATTAATATTACAATCAACCAACTTAATGCAATATTACATACAGTGTTTACTATATCAACCAATGTAATGTAATATTATAAATCTCTAGTTCTGAATTTACGGGTAGTGACTCAAATTTTGGTCACCAAAACTGAAGGTCAAAAGATTCCTCCTTGAAAGAATTTTCCAAAGATTCCTATTTGTGGAAAATTGTTTACAACCAAGTTTGGCATGTTAACTTTGGGAATTTTTTTTCTTGCTAATTTGTTCTGTTTACTTCTTGTTTTGGCACTCCTTGCTCCAATTGGAAAACAGCCAACATCCATACTTTTTTATGCTTTTAGATGTAGGTCTAGAGGAGGTGCCAATTAGCTCATCTCAGCCCCAACCAAGGTAGATGGTTATGGACTCCTTTACTCTTATTATATAGAAAAGAACATAAACAACACACAAAACAAAATTTAAAAAAAATCAATTTAAAAGTTATAAACTATTCATTACATATTTTCTATGATTCAATTATATATAATTTGAAGGAAACATGGATTCCTATTTGTGACTTAGGTTTAAAAAAAAAGAGCACCAAACAAAACCGGGGAGACAAGCTGATTAATGAAACACTTTAAGAAAAATATGGTGGGACTAAGTAAATAAAATTATATACCATTATTCAACCATTACAAATAAAAAAAAAATAACCAAAAGACCATAAATTAACTAAGCTGAAATAATATACGATACAAACACTATACTTTACTATATTAGTATATTTATATACACCTGTCACTGTTTTGATTATGTAGACAATTAATAGGCAAAAGGTTTGCAAATATTTTGTTTTTGTGTGTGTAAGAAATATGAAAGCTACATTAAAAGTTCAAAGAATTTATCATTTGCAGCAAATCACAGAGGAAAATGTACAAAAAAAAACTGCAATAGCAAGGAAACTTGCTAAATTCTCTACATTTGATGTTTGTTTGTTTGAGATTCTAGATCAATTCAAAAAAGAAAAAAAAAGAAAGTTGAGTTGTCAGTATTTCACAGCGTTACTGTGAAATACTTTATACCTTATTTTCCCATTATATTGTATAATTTATTTCAATTGTGTGAAAAAAAACCCCAATAAACAAATAAATAATTACTTAATTTAAACTAGAGCAGTCACTCCATAGGGTGCATGCATCGGCCCTGTGCCTGAATACAAGACAATACACTGGCCGTGTATGCAGTGTATGTTCCCCCCATAATTTTCTTTCTCTATGGTTCCCCTTACTTTTTGTTATGCTTGAGGGTAAAAATTCAAATTCTGTGACCTTGATCTTTGCTCCCTAAAAGCTAATTATCTCATTCTTAGAATTAGATTATTATGTATCACTCCACTAAATTGTATGATGATCCATTCATTAGTTTTTTTTCGTAATCTTGCTAACTGAAAGACAGACAGGGGTGTTAAATAGCTTCCTTGGTAGAGATAATAAATTGTTTAACAAAATAGAGTATTCAAGATTTTAGTTTTTTCATAACAATAGATGTATAGTTGTATTGATACAGAATGCCCATCACACATGCCTCCTCTCTGTTGACATCAATGAATTATATAACTGGATAAAAACACCAAAATTATAATTGCTTTTGATTTTTAAAAATATTTATAACCATATAACATCTTTAATTCACCCATTTAGCTTCCATATCTTTTGCACAACAAAAAAAGATAACCAGTTTCCTAAGTTTGTGTGTACTTATACATCTCTAATCTTACATGGAGATTGCCCTCAGGTTTCACTGGTTACATAATCAATACACTGAAAAGGCCTAAGCTGAATGCTTTATCTAAATTAATCACAGGCACTTGTATTCTAAAAAGAAAATAATGAAATTAATAATTGACAGTTTATAAATGTAAGAATAGTAAATAAAAAAATATCATAATAAAAACAAATAAATCACAAAAAAAATGTGAAAATATTTACAGGTCATCCAACTTCACCTCATCAACCAAAAGAAAAAAACATTACAGATCATAATACCTTCTAAAATCTCTACATCAACCAAACAAAAACAAGATTAGAGATCATTACACCTTATAAAATCTCTACCTCATCAACCACACAAAAAACAACATTACAGATCATTACAACTTATAAAATCTCTACCACATTAACCACACAAAAAACAACATTACAGATCATTACACCTTATAAAATCTCTACCACATTAACTACACAAAAACAAGATTACAGATCATTACACCTTATAAAATCTCTACCTCATCAACCACACAAAAAACAACATTACAGATTATTACAACTTATAAAATCTCTAAGACATTAACCACACAAAAAAACAACATTACAGATCATTACACCTTATAAAATCTCTACCTCATTAACCACACAAAAAACAACATTACAGATCATTACACCTTATAAAATCTCTACCTCATTAACCACACAAAAAAACAACATTGCAGATCATTACACCTTATAAAATCTCTACCTCATTAACCACACAAAAAAACAACATGACAGACCATTACACCCTATAAAATCTCTACCTCATCAACCACACACACAAAAGAAAAACATTACAGATCATCACACCTTATAAAATCTCTAACTCATTAACCAAAGATAAAACAAAATTACAGAGCACTACACCTTATAAAATCTCTACCCATCAACCACACAAAAAAAACAACATTACAGATCAAACCTCTACCTCATCAACCACACACACACACACAAAAAACCATTACAGATCATCACACCTTATAAAATCTCTAGCTCATCAACCACACAAAAACAACATTACAGATCATCACCTTATAAAATCTCTACCTCATCAAACACAAAAATAAACAACATTACAGATCATCACACCTTATAAAATCTCTACCTCATTAACCACACAAAAAAAACAACATTGCAGATCATTACACCTTATAAAATCTCTACCTCATTAACCACACAAAAAAAACAACATTACAGACCATTACACCCCATAAAATCTCTACCTCATCAACCACACACAAAAAAAAAACATTACAGATCATCACACCTTATAAAATCTCTAACTCATTAACCAAAGAAAAACAAAATTACAGACCATTACACCGTATAAAATCTCTACCTCATCAACCACACAAAAAAAAAAAAAAAACATTACAGATCAAATCTCTACCTCATCAACCACACACACACAAAAACCCATTACAGATCATCACACCTTATAAAATCTCTAGCTCATCAACCACAAAAATAAACAACATTACAGATCATCACACCTTATAAAATCTTTACTTCATTAACCACACAAATAAACAACATCACAGATCATTACACCTTATAAAATCTCTAAATCATTAATCACACAAATATACAACATTACAGATCATCACACCTTATAAAATCTCTAGCTCACCAACCACAAAAATAAACATTACAGATCATCACACCTTATAAAATCTTTACTTCATTAACCACACAAATAAACAACATCACAGATCATTACACCTTATAAAATCTCTAAATCATTAATCACACAAATATACAACATTACAGATCATCACACCTTATAAAACCTCTACCTCATTAACCACAGAAAAAAAACATTACAGATCATCACACCTTATAAAATCTCTACCTCATCAACCACACACAAAAAAAAAATTACAGATCATCACACCTTATAAAATAAAAATTACAGACCATAAAAAAAAACCACATAAACAACAAACTATATAAACAAAGAGCGGAAAAAATTAATAAAATGTTGACACCATCATATCACACCTTGTCACTGTACCCTTTGAAAGCAATGCTGTAATATTCATGCTGCAATTTCATTGAATGTTATTCTTGAAGATTTAAAGAGGTTTTATCTTGTGCTTAAAATCTTTTAATTTACAAATCTTGAATTTATTCAGTTACTTTTTGTCTGTGGGCTTCAAAAGAAATTATTTGTCTGAATCATTAAAATGCTGCTTTCAGTTTAAACAATTACAATTAAAATTATTGGATTATCATATCAAATACATTGCACATTTTAAGAATCCGACAGTTCATTCATCACTGAAGTATACACAATTAGTAAAATGTTTTCCCTTAATCATATCTAAAATGATTAAAGAATGAATGGTGTCTCAACAGGACACACTATACCAATATCAGAACCAGTATAACAATGAGATTAGTAACTTGGAAAGGGTAACAAGTTGAATATCTTCACAATAGAATACAGCTCTTAGCTCTTGAGATCTGCAAGCAAGCAATGTAAAAAACTTGGTACAGTGTATGATATCACCAGCTAGTGTACATGTTTGTTCAAAGCTGGAGTAAAAGACATCCATACTACCAATTATAAATCTGTTGTTACATCACTGTAAACACGATTGCCTGTATTTCCTTCCCTGCTAACTGCGCTGTACTTTTTCTCGTCTTCATGCCGTGGCTGCCAGTACTTCTTCCAGAATAGAACAGCGCCCACCATCACTAACAGTAGGATAATGAGGATTGGCAAAACAATGGCAGCAGCATCTAACAATAAAAAGACAGTAACAATAAGCCACTATTATTAATCTAAATGAAACAAAGAGTGCACTTGATATAGCAAAATAAATCACTACTGTGCAATTATTATTATCTAAATAAAAACAAACAGTGCACTTAATATGGAACAATAAGCCACTATGTAAAAGGGTCCAAGCATTAAGCTCTTTGCTGTCAGTGATAATTGTAATGGCCCTCAAACAATGCACCAGGCCTCACAAATAAAAAAATGTTTACAGCATCTAGCCTACACTGAACAATTGGGCAGATAACAGTAAATTAGATTTGGTAATCCTCTTGGATGTTTTACTGACGCGGAACACATAAAATAAATAAATAAATAAAATTTGAGACTTTCAGAACTTCTCATTTTTATACCCTCACATAAACCTACTGTAGGACATCAAGTTTCAATGTATATGATACCTATTTCATTTCATCTTTCAATCACAGAAGGAAACAATTAAAAAAAAAAGGAATTTAAAGAAGTAAAGAGAATTATCAAGAAGTGAACCCAATCACTATCAAGTGATTCTATAAGCCTCTAAAAGCCAGCATTCAAAACTAAATATGAATACAATGTATACAGTACATGAATAAAATTGCATTTTGGAAAGTCAATAATCAATGGAAATGTAACACTGTAGGACATAAATCAAAATTCTGTGGAAATCGACACTGAAATTAAGGCAAAGGAGATGAAGCCGAATTATCAGTATTAAATGAAAGTGAATCCCTAAACTTACAAATGTTGTTTACTTCAAACTTTACCAAAAATGAACACTCTGATATTCTAACTGAACATTGTGCTGTATTTGAAAAGAAAGGTCTAAGTATCTTAGGCATTAACATAGTAACACTTACAGGAAAATTTGACAGTTTTAAATATCTAATTCAGAATAATTCTATCGACATAATAGCATTGAATGAAACAAGACTTAATAGCACTATACCAAATTTAGATGTTAACATTGAGGGTTATGATCTATACAGAAAGGATCGAAATAGAGAAGGTGGTGGTGTAGCAGTCTATGTAAA